ACTTGTCCTTCAAATAGAGGCCACACCAACTACAAAACGTTTGCTCTTCTCCTCAGATCATTCACTTTGCAGTTCAGAATCCCTCTAAACTCCTACCTTCATTTTTTCCTCAAACCATAGGTATCATTATTTGTATTTAGCCATACTACTTGAAAACCCTACTGCCCTCAGCAGTCTCATCTTTTTCCACCCAAACTAACCTCACCCCATCTGTGCAGTCAGAGGGAGTCACAAGGGGGAACCTTCTTCTTTGCCCAGATGAGTTGCAGACAGCTGGGTTAAGATCAGGCTACCTTCCACAGCTGCTTAAGCTAACCTAGCTGGCTCTGTTGGAAGCAAGCTACAGAAGGCACAATCCATATGTCCTCCATGGCTTCAGCTGTGTAGAGCCTAGAGGTCTCTCATCAGTCTAGCCACAAGTTTTCCATTTTCCATGACACAGCTGAAAGACCAGATCTCTCTGGTTTCTGTTTGGAAATTCATCTTTTAGCAAACCTTAGTTTCCAGGCTAGAGTTGGGAAAAGGGTGGTTTTACTTCGGTGTGATCATGTAAGTGTTTCAAAGTGCTGTTATCTAAATGGAATTTATCTGAATTTAATAAGCCTCCTCAAGCTTACAACCTTTAAAACCTACAACCTCCTTTCAGTCTTTGAAACTACATGAAATAACCTTCTCAGCCTTCTCTCACCCTGACATGCCAAGCTATTTGATGATACAGCAACTCCTTAACACTGACCAGAATTCATTAATTGTACATAGCCAGAAACCCCAACCTGCCACAGCATGATTTCTGGTCAGAAACCAAAGAAGTGTAAATATATTTAAGATTCTGGTTTGCAATTGTGCAAAGTATTAAATAGAGCTACAGACAAGGTAGAGTTTGTTCAAAGGGACAGGATGGCTGGGAGGACACACAGGAAAAACAATCAATGGGTATTTGTCAGCACAATTAAAGAATTATTGATTACACAGCAGATTCAATTGTGCTACTGCAACTTCACAGAGAATATAGCACATCTCCTACTGCCTGAGATAAGAAAGCACACTAGGTAGTACTAAGTTACTAATGCACGTAGCATTTTTTCCCAATGTCGATCATGGATTTTTCAGTCCTACTTTATCATTCATGTAAAACATAAGGAAAATTGAAAAGCAATGTAACCTATTCAAATTCACACTGGCCCAATGGCAACCCTCCATGATAGTAAAATTTCTACGTGCCAGAAGGAGGGAATCTCCCTGGCAGAGGGCACACAGCATTGCCAACACCATCCTCCCTCTGAGATTTTTCTGTATATAGATATACTGTGTACAGCTGTTTGCCATGTAGTCTTAAGTCTTGAAAGTAAAAGGTGAATGGACTGCCTTGTTTTACTAATAGGATTACACATATTTTAGGTTGGGCTTGCACTTTATGATGCCTTATGAATAAAAGGAATGCTGCAACGAGCGCATACCACTGCAGTCCCATCCTTCATTAAACTTCCAGCCATCAAAGATCAGAAGAGTCCTTACTTGCAGAAGGCAGCACAGATAGAAGTCCTCAGAACTACAGTCAAACAGCACAGTGCTAAATCTCAATACATAAGAGACAAGAGCTAGACAATTCATTTTCAGTTTATTTTTAAGTGGCTGAAGTGCTCACTGACCTTTCAAAACATGTTGTGATGTACTTACATGTACTCTAACCTCCACACAACATTCCTGAGATTTAGCAGGGTCAAGGAAGCAAAGGAACAAAAACTTAAATATATTTTTATTTTCTCTTCATTATGCGAATGTGTCATCACCAGCATAATGCACATCCAGGGTACCATGATATATGCATTAGCTAAGATTTACACTTCATGGCTGCAAATAGGGTCCTTTTGCTCAAGACAGCCAATATCCTATAGGAACAGCAACAACTGACTTGCTGACATTAGCACAAATATAATTAATTTTGTTCTTGACGAACTACATGGAGACTATGAGAGCTGGAGGTCATAACACTGCCCTATGGACACAAATTGTGATGTTAATTATCAATCAGAAAATTCTGTATAGACTTTTCACCATTTGGGGCAGTGGGTAAGATGGGAAGGGAGTCAGTCCTTTTAGAATGCTAACTTCAAGACAGATCTTTCCACCATTAAGCTTTTGTACAGTATAATAAAACTCCAGTGCTGGTTGCAAACTCAAGATATAATGGTACTACAAATGTATTACAATTACATTAGTGTCCACAGACAGGCTTATACAAAGCTGGAGTACACTATGAATACTTAAGCATGAACATTAACTCAATTTTACAATCCTTTTCAAAAGGAAATACTAATTTTGTTTTTTATTTGTTAATGGAGGAATGGAAAAGAAACCTATTTTTGCTGTTATCACAGCAGTGTCTAAACAGCCAGACAAATAGTGGCGACATAAAATTGCCTATCTAGACTAATTTGCATTTTTGTGCAAACCTTCTCTTATTCATCTGTTTTCATTTGGTTTTCCCTGACAACCTGCAGAGCCACCCACACCCTCCCAGCACAGAGTGTTTATTTTTCCTCCTGTCTCTGGCTCTTGTCCAGAGGAGGGCAAACGCTTTCAAATGACTTAGCTTTCATCCCCCACAGTGGCAAATGCTCTTACAGCTCCTCAGGATCTATTTGAACATCAAGAATATATACTCTTGGTGTCTACCAGAAAGAAACCTGGAATAAAGTACTCCTGTCAGGAGAAAACTATGTCCAATACATAGTGGGCGACCACTGACAAAACTGACAGAAATATCTGGGGGCAAATGCTGGGTTTTCCTTTTTGGACTTTCCATTACTGAGACTGGTGTTAGGTTCCACATTTCAGTCTTTAGGATCTATATTTATTAGCCTTTAGTAATTGCTTAATATCAGCCACTGCTTCATATAAGGAAACTTACATCCTTTTTTTCCTGCATATTTGTCTCAACCAAAATTTCTCGTCAGTCCCTCTATCCTTATTTCTTTTGAGACGGCCTGATACTTGAGTCAATAATTTAAACCAAGATTCTAATAGCACATTTTCAAAGTGTACACTAGAAGAACAGGGTTTGCTTTCACTAGAATGGCACACTTCTCTCCCCAAACTGGTCTCACCACACCCATTTTTTCCCCCACTTATTTTCCCATAAAACTGAACCCCAGAAAGTAAAACTACGCTCTAGAACTAACACCAGGGACCTCCTAAAAAATTACACTTTCTTTATCTCATGTTACTACTGTTTCATTTTAGAAACATTCTTACTCAACACACCAAGACCTTCCTTAGGTATAGCCCAGCTATCAGCCCCACACAACTCAGACAGCTTGCCTGAGCCCATGCTGGGAAAATAACCTGAAAGGAGCCTGAACTAGCTCTTCCATTTTTACATCAAACCACCAACTGAACTGGAAGCCAGTTTTAAAGGGATTTCATTACGCAAACTTACAGCAAATTGAAATAATGCCTTCATTTCACAAGGATGGACATCAAACAGATGCAGTTCTAATGCCACAAATCAAAGTAAATAACACATAGTCTATGGTCCCATTTTTTATGATATACCATTATTTTCCATTATGAAAAGCTAAAGACACACAACATTTTGCTCTGAAAATAATATCTACATTCAGCTAAAGGGATGTTAAAATACCTTCTCTCCTGGGGTCACAGAGATTCTCCATATGCAGTGTGTGTAGGAAGGATAACCATTTGGAAATCCAGGAGAAGAAAAGTTGCCTGTAGATTCCTGCAGTGTTTCTCCACAGGCTGTAAGAAACAAATTACAGTAAAAATATAAAATTCAATGTGCCTAACAGAGAAAAATGCATCTTTTCAATATCTACTCAGAATAAAGTTAACTCAGTACAGATGTAGAATGGAAAACAAACTCGTTAGTTTATGATTTATTCAAAATTTTAGGCCAGTCTGACATTCATTCCATTTTACACAGGATGTTTTTATTCCAGTAACTATTTCTCTTGTGTGTTGTCTGCTGACATAACCAAAATTACAGCAGTCTTAAAAATATCACTGCTGTCAATCAATTGCAACATTGTACATGTGACTCCTTTGGCAATTAAAAAAAAAATTTAGCCACACCCTTAGACACATCCTTTAAGAACTAAAACAAACACTGGCACAGCATGATTGGCACCACACTGGAATTTTGTCAGTGGTTTCATTTAATTTAGTACTTTACCCACATGAGAGACTGAGCTGACCTATACTCACTCATTTATATTAGTCTAGAAAGCTAAACCCTATATTCAACAAAATCTCTTGCAAGGGTGATTTGTAGAGATGAGAGTTAAAAAAAAAAAAAGCAAAGCAAATGTAAAGTCCTAAAATATCAAAGGTTTTTATATTCTTTATTATTGAAGCTTTTAGAATGCCTATCTCACCTGTCAATCATGCTGCTAGCTACTAGTGGCCAGGTTAATAAATCCTCTTCACAATAAAAAACCACCAGAAGCTCCTGCCATTCTCCACCATTAAAACCAAATCTGGTAGGGTGTCACACCTTGGTCAGTCATCCTTTTTGACCTTAAACAAATTGTTTCATCCACTGATTTTTCAGGTGTGATACAAAATATTAATTTGAGAATATTATCCCACAACTGTGTAATCAGATCTGCAGTACTTTCAAATTAAAGCACTACCACTGCCAGCAGGTGAACTACTGTATCATCAAAAATCTCAATGAATTATAAATGATCTGGAAAATCTTTAAATAAAAGGGGACAAATGAAGGGATTGTTTATGACAAAGAAAGACAACACGGCTGTATAGGCTGTCCTGTTAAAAAAGGTCTACAATGTAATCTGCCAACTACACTGTAATATTAGGTGTAAATTATATTCAAGGCATTAAATATGCTCTCTGACATGCATGATGAGAAAAGAAAAGAAAGACAGGTGCATCCCACAAAAAATGTAATGGCTAAAGCCACCATCACTGTGTTCTTTAGGAACGGAAGAGCAAAAAAAAAATTCTTTTCCTCCCTTATATAAAAAAGGGTTAATCTTAAAAATATTGCAGGCAGCCACAGCAAATGACATTTCTGTACAAAGCATTTTCAGTGAAAAGACTATATCTGTAATTAACCATAATTTATTTTTAACACAGCGATGAATGCAAACTTACATAAATTCCAGAGCCATGCACTGGATTCCCCATGCTAGCAAATGGTAACGTAGCTTACAATGTGTAAGCAGAGCACTTTAGAGAAATCCAAGAGTAAAATGGTAGTCTCATACAGGAGTAGAGGAAAGCAGAAAAGCCCAAAGAGGAGACATGCATGCCTCAGGAGATCCATGAGAATCCAAGTATTCCTCTCACCCCTTTTAGAGATCTCTCTTGCTCTCCCCTCCATGCATGACTTCATTAAGACTACACTGCATCAGTGTGCTCTCACAAGGCACAGAACTGTATATCAAGCTTTAGTACAACTCCTGTTTGCTCTGGCTATATTTCATCAACATTAGCTACTAAGTAAGCCTTGAGCAGATGCCATGAGGAGAGATGGGGAATGTTGTTTGTCTAATCTTTTCTGCTCACAAAGTATTTTTTTCCAATTAACTGTAACTTTGACTCTCAAATATTGATTATGAAGTCATGCAATGTGCACACTCAGGTATTGTGAAGTATGTAAGCAAACAAAAGACTATCACGTATGTGGGACATATGATGTATCCGTTCAAATGCAATCCTGCAATCAGTAAGAGGACAGGAGGAAGACTCCGGTGTAATTACCTCTTACACTAATTTGAGTCCCTACATTACCCTGTTATAAAAGTAAAAATATCAGTGAATTAAGCATAATATCTTTACATCTTGAAAACGTTTTAGAATTTTCCCCTCTTACACAGAGCGTAGAATTGTTTTCTCCAGAGTACTAGTAACACTTCATACTCTATATACAGAAAAGGTATATAAAATTAAAACTCTGGCTTTTAAGTTGCAAAAGAAACCACGGAACATTCCCCCCACCCCCCCCAAGGAATTATAGGATAAAGCTATTTAACACAACAATTCATCTTATATCCATCTTAAATGCCTGGGAGCTCTCTATCAAATCAAAATTTTTATAAATATCTCTGACTTTAAGGGAAGCATAAGAAAATTTGTCACTGGATAACTTCTACTAAGAATATCAATTTTATTAGGCTAGACCACTTCCAGAAACACCACTTTAGCTCTCCCCACACACATACTCTATCCATAAAAGTGGATCTCCTCTCTGTTTTACAGTTTGAGAAGGTTAAACTTCTGATAAGCCTTTCTGTGGTAAAGAAAGGGAAACTATTTTTGCTTCTCCTTGTAAAGATTAGCAATAGGAGCAGGCAGCAGGTATATTATGTGTTTAAACAAAGCAATTTTCACCAGTGAGCTCTGTGGCAGTCTTTAATTACACAGCCTGTGTATAGCACCCCTCTGGTCTGGCCTATGCACACAGTCAAGTCCCATCAAGGATTACAGTGAAGCCTTCAAATGACGAAACCCAGATCCTCCAGAACACTTAGGCAACCAACTCTCATTCCTTTTTACATATCACTAGCAAAGGCATAGTGACATATATGGCCAATATATGCTTAGCCTTTTGCAGAGAGAATTATGATCTTTAACACTTTCTACTTAGACCCAAGTCTATGCAACTATACATATATGGCATATAAAGCTGCCCTAAAAAATATCTACTGCTGATTGTGTACATGATAAATCAAGAACTTAAATCCGTTTACTACAACTCGGTGTCTTACTATTGACTTGATTCCCCTTTATATTTATAGGAAAATGATCTTAATCTAAAAAACTTAATCCTTCTTATGCAGTGAATAAAGGCTGACCTTTGAAGGTGAACACTCTTTTTGAATCTAATAGGGATGGCAGCAAGTTAAGCCTGAAAAACAGCAAGAACAGCACAAAAAAAGGGCCAGGATAGGTATCCTTCATCTACACTCTTCTACACACACTGTCACAGACCCAGGCAATTTGTACATTTGCTGAACTTCTTCCATACACCTTCTCTTCCTCTAAACAGCCTGCTCCCACCACTCTGAGAGTCCTTTCCCATCTATTATCCCATCCCACTCTGCCCACTCATTTTTTGTCGTCTCTTTTCTGCCTAAGAGTATCCTTCTCCATCATTTCCTTTTCTTATTCTCTTGCTCCTATAAAACCACATATGAATTTTAAATCTACTACAATTTCTGTATAAAACTATAAAGGCAGACCTGTAGCTACACCAGAAGAAAACACATTCCATCACTCTATTAGATTGTCTGAAAACCATTGTAATACATCCAACCTTGACGTTCAAGATCTGTTCTCAAATGCCAAGACACTCAAAATTCAAAATAAGATTGGCAGAGGAAGGACCCTCAACTCAATTGCTTTCTTCCTTCTTATTATTCCATCGTGTAACAATGGAATTCAGTATTAAAACATAACAGATCCCTAACAGCAATTATGCTTTCATTTGACAAAAAAAGTCTTAAGAATATGTTAAAAACAAACTAAAATTGCTGTCGCTAGGTTGCGGAGTCCTGGCACTTGCTCTGCTGATAGGTACGTTATCGAATCTCACGCCTTGGCTTCACCAATCTCAAATATGTTTCTTGCTCACCAAGCACTTTCATGAAAACATCACACTGAATATGCTGACTAGATAAAATGCTGTGGAAGGCTTAGCCTTCTCACTGCTGTGAGGATCATCTGTATTCTCCAGCAGCCTGGAACTCAACTTCATGTTCATGGGTCCCAGAAAATGCAGCTAGCTTCTAGGTCCAGAAGCTGTTTGCAGGAATAACTAGAACTCCAAACAAAACAAGCACAATACCACAAAATTCTTTATCAAAGAAGTGTGCATCTCTGGAAAATACTGATTTAATTTTTTCTGTATTTTCAGCATATTACATTTAAGGTAACACAAATGAACATGTGAAACAATGCAGATGTTATTAATGATTTAAATATTCACACTGCTGTTTTATCATAGCAGGCATTATGTCTAACATCTTCTGTATGAAATAGGAAATACAACACACCTCCAAAACCAACAGTGTCAGGGATTTTATTGCCACATACTACGATGCTCACATAATTATTTTCATAAAACTCAAAGCTTTACCTCTGTCTGAATTTTCAGTCTCATGGTTTGCTGGAAAATTTATTAGAACATAAGTACTGTGCAACTTTCAGAGTTGCTTTCTTTATTGGATATTTAAGGTTGTTGTGTTATTCAGTTACACAGCTTCTACTAAAAATATTATCTGAAAAAGTAGCATTTTAAATAGTGTCTGTCTGTCTTTTTCTCTCTCTTAAAACTCACTTTCTATTATGGCATGGCTATCTAAGTATGGCTGGAAAATCAACTTCTTTTATCCCAAAGTCTGCCGAAGCAAAGTGCCACAAAGGGAGTATGATCCTTCAACTACTGTTCATTTTTATTATCCATCTGACCCATGTTCACCAGTGCTGCAAAAAAGAGCTTACTTTTAAAGTGCACAGTGCTGTTGAACAACCATGAGTTTACAATATTGTGAAATTAACTTTCAGCAAGACTTTCAAGACATTGAAAGAAATAACTCATTAATACATGCTTTTTGACATATATGGAAAGGACATTTTCTCTGAACAATTATTTGAATATTAGCTCAAAAAGCTCGTTGCATCTTTTACAGTTGAATGAAAGTGCATGTTAGAGTATTATATACACACCAAACAGACTAGGCTGTAATTAATTTCTTTTTCTTCTGTTTTTCTTTCTTAAGTCAATAGGATCATAAGATACTAACTCCTTTCACAGTGGTTTTACTTCTATAGGCTATTTTTGTCTTCTAAATTTGTCTTTTATCAAAATATATATGTACCCTTTGTGTTTATTAAATTGTTTCTCTCTGCATACTTTCATTAGAAATAATCTTGCCAAAAGTGCATTATTAAAGTGCTTTCTGTACCAAAAGGAAAGAGTTAAAATTGTCCACAAAGGAACAGCTGTTTAAAAAAATATGTTAAAATGGTTTTTCCTCTGCTAGGCTCAGAAGCTCCATGCATGTTGTCAGTATGCGGATGACTATGATTCAGCATAAAGCACAAAGGAAAAGGATATTTCAGCTGTACAGTGTACATCAAATGCACATCAGAATCCCTAGATCTTCAGTAGATCCCATTGCTGCTGATACAAATTTGAAGTGGACTTTAGTCCTGATTCCTTTCTTTAGCCCTACTATACTGATCAGTTAGTTAAACGTAGCCATATACCTAACTTCAAAAAGTTACTGAGATGTCATTAATTCCCATGAGGAGCAGTAGGGCTGTAGAACCCATGTGGCACAGAGCTGGTATGTCCAGCCTTCCACAAGGATCTTGCTGGCAAATTCCAGTTGAGAGATGGTACTTCTGAACTACTTTGGTTGACACCATGGGTTAAGAGAGGTAAGGGCCATAACTAGAGCAAGGAAATTAAAACCTTTTGCTTTCAAATTTCCACCACTCTGGCAGCACTTAGCAAAGAACCAGCACTAGAGAACAACATGAAGCACAGGGTTGACTCTGTTCTAAGCAGTTCACAAATATAAGACTTTACAGCTTAGTTGTCCTGGCTTGTTATTTGTCAAATTTTCAAAAACTGGGTTCAGAGATGATTGTGATAATTCAATTTTCTCCTTCTGCACTCTACTTGAAATCAAATAAAGGACTCCAGTGAGTATGCAAACCAGAAATAATATTAAACATCTTTCTTTTTCTTCTGTCCTAGTCATTGAATGGCTAAGCAAGACAGCTTGAAATGTCATGGAACTAAGTGTTCTTTCATACAGTTTATCTGTCCTTAGGTATTTTGCATTCCAGAGACCTTATCTGTAAGATTTTTTTTATGATTCAATTCTTGAGCAGCCTGTGTCAGTTGCCAACACAGAAACAGACTTCTGAGCAGCTGACTCCAAAAACTCATCATTCCTCTTGAACGACATGTCAAACAGTTGCTAGTATGTGGTTTTTGTTTGTTTGTGGTGCAATACCTGGACATCTATACAGCTTTCTTGCCTGTGCAATATCTCCTTTACTTAGACGAGTACGTTGGCCAATGGCAGGTCGTATACCATTATCATCACGGGAAGGGAGAATGGTATCCAGAAACATGCCCCTAAAAAAAATAAAAATAAAAATAGACCCCAAAAACACCTATCAGGTTTGTGTCATAAAATTGTCTGAGTTTCATGAATGTATAATGTTGTTTTGTAAATCTAGTTTTTACATTTGGCATAATAAGAGGGTAAAATGCAGAACTTTAAATACAGAAAACACATCATAAAAATTCCTAAGGTTGGCAAACTTTAGGCAAAGTTACCAAAAAAAGAATCTTCTTTCAGTACATCAACTAACGTATAAGCTTTTATATTTCTGTTAGACAAGGAGAGGGAAATCTCTTACTATTACTAAGACTACACAGGGAAAAGACACTTCTGTAAGCCGTCACTATATTGAAAAAAATTAGTCATAAAAGTACATAAATTAGGCCCTATCACAAAATTCTTAATCACAAAGTTCCTACTTCTACCAAAGTTTTTATGGAAGTCTTAAAGTTTGACTTACACATGTAAGAGCAGGTAAAGCTGAGCACTCTTGCCAATCATTCTTCTGTCAGGTGTTTTAACAGTTCTAAGTCTACTCTAGATGCTGCTGCTTTTGAAAAAGAAATGCTTACTTGCCAGCCTTTGCTCGCTTTACAATAAAGTATATTGACTTACCATATGTGATTTTAGTGCCATTTACTTTAAATAACAAGACATTATATAGAAGTTTGCTTCTTCCAAATGTGCAGTTCTATTCAAAATTTCCCAGATTTCAAATATGATCTAAAATATTTTAGTAGCTTCAAATAAATTTTAGAAGAGTAAGGTACAAAACCACATTCTATTATCATGTTACAAAATTTGAAAAGCCCTTAAGTCCAATGAAATGGAAGCTAACAGATGAATTAACATGTTTCTATATTCTCTTGTTCTTTAATTTTTTCATACTGTCTTGCATACTTCTAGGACTTTTATTGAAAAGCAGAATCCGTACTTTCAGACATCACATGGGTCCAAAAATAAATGAACAAAGAGGATCTTTGTAGTTAGGATTACCATTTATAAATGCATATTGCTTTTTAAATTACAATAAATGAACCATTTTAAGTATTGCAGATACATACTGCTCTCTTTACCTAGTTGGACTTTTTGTGGCATCACTAGAAATTTTGCAAAGAAAGAATCATCTCAGAATGTTACCCTAAACAGTAAAATAACCTACTTATGGCATTAATCAGTTTCTAGAAATAAGGCACATTATTATTTAGAAAAAAAAAAGTGTTTCCATCTATAAATTATATTTTTTTTCACAGAATTTCAGTACAACCTGAAACATGATGCTATTCATGCTTTGAAAAAAATGTGACAACAATCCTCTCTTAAATACCTTAGCACTTTAATAGGGGAACAAACTGCCAACAGTTTTAATAAAACATGAACAAAATCACTGTGTATGACTAGAACTTTATGATGTTTTGTGATTTCTACTACTTATCCAAGTGAGCAAAGTCTAACAAACAGCTGGCAATATGTCACACTGTACACAGCTCATGCTTTCCAGTTGAATTAGTGCAAATCAATACCTGACCTCAAGGGTTTGATGGTTGGTTTTAAACAGTATGCAGTAACAACTTCTTGTACCTTAGGGCAGGGCATGCCTACTCATGGCACTATCAGATTTTGCCACCTTAGAAAATGGTGAGAACAGGGCCCACAGACCAAATTCCCTTGATGCTGTCAGGGCCCTAGGACTCTAGGGGGTTTCTATCTTGTTCAATTACTCTATTTTATATAGGTTCTTATAATCTCTTTCTTAAGGTAATGGTGTGTGTAACTGGATTAAGCAATGTGACTAATATGAACCACCTCATGTGGCCCATTCCCATGCTCTTCCAGGGGTGAATTATTTGTATGCTGAGTAATCCAGCCTTTGGTAGGATTTTTATTTTTTTTAATAATATTATTTATATTGAGGAGCACAAACATAACAAATTTGCAAAGGCTGGTGAGGTTATTGGTGGTCTTCAGTTCATTTCAAAGAGTCAGATTTTCTAGTATTTTTGCCTTAAAAGGCATGAATTGAAAAAATTAAAAAATCCCCAAACCTAAGAACATAACTTTTCAAACCAGCATTTTATTTGTTGGGTGTTTATGGAGTTTTCTTTTTATTTTATATTACTCTGGCATATTTAGAGAATAATTAGCTGAACTGCAATTTGGTATGAAATACTAGAGGAGATTGGGTGAAAGACTTCTTCACTTATTCTCCAGAGTAGGGCTGGCCTATGGGAACAGGTCCTTCTACAACTCCCCACAACCCTGCAGTATTTCAGAGTAAGCCCCATGTAAATTACTAGAGAGTTGAGAACGGACCAGCCTGCAACAGGACAGAGGAAAACAAGCAGAACTCTATTATAAGGTTTTGATGACAGTAACAATCTGTACAAATAACAGAGAAGAGGCTGCAGCCTCTGTCACAAACGGTTGACTGCAGCCCTCAGCAAAGGCTGTGGCTTGCATGGTAGATGTCTGGATACCACAATGTGTTCTACCTGCACAATCTATAGTTATGAGACATTATGCATCAAAGGAGATTTCTCTGTTAGTGAACAGATCACATTACACATTGTGCTGGTTTGAGCTGGAGCAGAGCTGACTTTCTTCACAGTGGCTAGTACGGGGCTATGTTTTGGATTTGTGCAGAACACAGGGTATGTAATATGGAAATGGGTTTGTTACTGCTGAGCAGAGCTCACACAGAGCCAAGGCCTTTTCTGCTTTTTATACTCCCACACTGTCAAGGAATTTGGGGGTGCATAGGAGATTGAGAGGAGAGACACGCAGCACAGGTGACCTCAACTGAACAAAGGGACATTCCATATCATATGACATCATGCTCAGTATATAAAGTGGGAGGAAGAAGGAGACAGGGATGACATTTGGAGTGAAGGTGTTTGGCTTCCCAAGTAACTGTTATGCATGATGGGGCCCTGCTCTCCTGCAGATGGCTGAACATCTACCTACCTATGGGAAGCAATGAATTAATTCCTCATTTTGCTTTGCTTGTATGTGCGACTTTTGCTTTCCCTATTAAATTGTCTTTATCTCAACCCATGAGTTTTCTAGCTTTTACCCTTCTGATTCTCTCCCTTATCCTGTTGGTGGGGGAGTAAGCAAGTGGCTGCGTGGGGCTTGGTTGCTGGCTGGGGTTAAACCACAACACTCATAACATTCCTCACCATCTCACTCGTTTGATTTTTCTAAATTCAAATTTTTATGGACAGAAAAAGGAAGTATTATATGAAATTACATTTCCAGATTATCTTGTCTTAAAATCTAAAGAACTAAAGCGAGATCAAAAGGCTGCTTTGAAACTGAACAGAAAAGAAATGCATTAAAAATATAATTCAATTATTTTGACTTAAAATAAACAAGCTGCGCTTTGACTGCTGTAAGAATACTATATCACAAGAGACATTTTAAGCAATTTCAAAATACTTCAAACAGCATAGTTCTTAGCATTCACAGAGAGGAATAGAATTAAAAGTCAAAAGGTATAACCTGAGACTCCAACCTTGAGAAGGTGTTCCTGGCATAGTGCATAATGCTGTCAAAGTCATATGGTTCCCCAAGGGAATTCACCTCTCCAGGCTCCATCTTCAAGAAGTTATATTCCTGACCTACAAATGATTGATAATTAGAGTTTCTTTAATATCTTTTTCTGTAAAGATAAAAACCAAACAGGAAAAGAAAACCAACAAAGATCCTAACTTAATTACTCACTGACATTCATAAATCTTTGTCATTTGGGAGGAAGTGTGTGACTTTATTAAATGAGAGGGCAGATGTCTTCACATCAAATTGCTATACCTGGCATTTGAAAAGACTAGTCTCATTCAACTAACACATAAAGGCCCCACACATCATGTTGCACTTCATGCAGAATCCATAGAAATTGCTGGTTTGATTCTTAATTCCTAAAAGAAATAATTTTGACAGCAAAGACTCTGGAAGAACCCTCCTCATTATAGACTCATTAGATGGGATACCTTTAGTATCCAGTCCAACTGGATACTAAACCTTGTACTAAACTACTGGAGACATTGCTTGAACAAAGTCTACTCTTTGAGACTCCATGTAATGCAGAAAGTATGAAGTCACACTTTGAAGAGTCAGCTCTTGCAACTTAACAAAAGCAGAAGAGGAACAAAAGAATTATACTTAGTTCATAACTCCAGACCATAAGTGCTTTGTCCTAATCAGTGTGTTGCGAGATATAAAGCACCCCTTACACCAGTTCATATTCCCATTGGATTCTTCAAAAAAAATAATCAAACCCTGCAGTGACATTAACATTATTAACCAACATAATTTGCATAATACAAAAAACCCCATGTCTTGGTGGTCATGACTTCGATCCCATTTAGTGATCCTCAAGCTCATACCACATCACAAGAAGTTGTTTCAGTCAGAAATCAAAGAGACAACTGAAAGGAGAGAGCAGGAGGCTGAGGATGGCACTCCAGCAGATTTTGCCCATTGCACAAAAGGCAAAGGGGAAGAGCACTAATGGCATCTACACTAGTCAATAACACAGAGAGAGCAGAAAGAAGGCTCAAATGAGCATGCACTTTCAGGACTTCAGAGACTTGTGGGAGTATGTATCAGCTGCCAGTCTCCTTCCAAGTCCTAGATGAAGCAGCAAAAATTCATTCCATCTCAAATCCATTTTGATTTAAAACATTTTCTATAGGAACTGACAAATACTCCAAGCTATCATTGGACAATTTCTGATTTCGCCCGTTCTTTTTGAGCAGAGAATTTCTGTAAGTCAAAATCAGTGCTTGCAAAGACTACATGCATTTATCAGCATTGCAAATGAAATATGACTAGTTTCCTCCCATCTTGCCTACCCACCACAAGTGTGGGCACAACAGGTAGAATGACAAAGAGAAGACAGCCACAGTTTAAAGTTCTCAGATTCCTCAGATGCTTTGTCCCAACAACACCAAGGTCACTGACTAAAGCTGCAAGTTCTGTAGAGAATGAGTAATGTGTAAACTGCAGGAACTGTGCCCATCTTTGTCACAGATTCAAAGTCCTCAGCTTAACTTCCAGGACTAAGCCTCTTGGGCAGCTAAAAGCTACTGACATATTTCTATTTGTGTTTCAATAAAGACTACAAAAGAAATGCCCTTTCTCAAGCACAGAAACATGACATTTAAAGGGCTTTAAGAGTAAGAGCTTCCTTCAAAGTTTTTGAGCATGATTAGTATTTTGCTGCTTCTAGCCTTCTATTTAATGGCTTGGAAAATATTATATTTTAATTGCAGTATTTTATTTGTGATTCAAATTAAGATCAGTCAAGCTAAGAGG